TATGTACCACATTCATAATGATTAACTCTTTTCTATCCTTTCCCAGTGGGCTTCACTGACTGCACAGAGCGCACAGTATTTCTTTTCAGCACTGATGACAGTCGCTTTACTGTAAAGGCAGATGGTACATTAACGGTGAGTAGAGTTGACAGACCTGACAGCAAAGTTGGGGTTAGTATAGAAAAGAAGATATTAAAGTAAGATTTGTGAGGACTTAGTCTAACGAATGTAGCGTATGTTGTATTTCTGCTAAAAGTTTTGTTTTTTTATATATTTATTGATTTTTACTTTCCAGGTAAAAAGAGAGGTTGTTCTTCATAAAGGACACCGGAACTTCTTCATCCACTCCTGGGACTCTCAAGGTAACAAAATAACAGTTCCAGTCAGTGTCGTTCACCCTGAGCATCACCATAGACATCACCGTGGAAAGCACCACCATGGAGCCCACACCAACTTCAACATTCAGCATCACAGTACTGAAGTGGACTCTATTAACCACACAGAGGTAGGTTTAGAGACACTGTTTAATGGGGCATGAAGGAAAGGTACATTTGGAATCGATACATGCAAAATGCCTGTTTCTGACATTTTAAGTAGATACAACAGATGGCAACTTAACTCGTGAGGCTACATAGAATTTATCAGATTCACAAACTTGAGTATCAACATGTCCTGCTTGCCTGCTTGGTAGGACACGATAATGCCTCATTGGCCTTTCTGGCTGAGATGTTGAAACTGATATTAACTCTGGACAGACACAGACCCATCATAGTCTGAAAATTTTTTAAAACTCATTCTGAGAACATCTGTGCTCCTCCTTGTAGTTTAATTAAGTTCTGAGTGGTGTTCTATCCAAGCTTTAGCTAAAAAAGCTGTCTGTATGTTCTTCCAGAATGCCACTGATCCACAAGTGCCCGTTCTGCAATTTCCCAAGTCTGGTGGAGGGCTGAGGAGGAGGAAAAGGGACTGGGTTATTCCTCCACTCAATGTTCCTGAGAATCAGAGAGGAAAATATCCCCTGAAAGTAGCTCAGGTAAGGTGAACTGAATGAACTTGTGATTAATTTGACAATAAATGTCATTTTATCAAACATTTTTATTTCTAAATGTTTATTTCTGCAGAGGATGTCGCCGTTGTTTACTTTGCAGTCTGCCTGTCCTTTATATTTTTTCCTTCCCCATTTAATTCTTACTATTTAATCTGCAAAGTTTGTTTTCCTGGATGTGTAACTAAGACATTTTTACTTGACTGTTAGTCTAAAGTTAACATAAATAAAATATAAAGGCACAAGTAAAAATCTGTATATTGCTGGCAGAAAGAAAAGTTAATACTTAAGGGTGCCGGTTTAGCTCGTGCCGTATAGCTGAGAGAGACCAAGATGGGTTCAAGTCTGACCCGCAGCACTTTGCTCCATGTCTTCCCCTCTCCCTCCCCTTTCCTGTCAATCTTAAACAATAAGACTAAGCTAGTAAGTCACATTAGTTAAAAGAAGTTATAGTGTGTCATTATAGAAAGAAATTCCCCAAATGCTTGGAGAATCTAGCAATCTTGTTGATATGAGATCACAAGATAAGTCTTTCCAAACTGTATTTCAAAATAACCAGGAATGTCTTGAGTGCAGACTACACTACAGTGCACAGCCTCTTTACTCTTACTATAGACAGTGAGCATGATCTAACTTAGTCCTGTGTGGCTTTTATTTATTTTATTTTTTTCC